GCCCGGCGCACCCAGAGAACTTTAAGAAGCTCCCCTCTGCTTTCCCGGCCTGAGCTTCCCAGCCAGTGGCAGCCTGTTCCCGTGCGCAAGCACAGACTTCATTTGTTGCTGCCTCTCTGGGTAACGTGTGACAGGCCCAGACAAGGGCAGAACCGGTGTGGGTGCCCGGTAAATGACACTAGGCCAGTCTCCCCACTTGCTCTCCAGATCCAAACCCACCCGCAGTGTCTCGAACCTACGGAGCTTGGTAGATCCATCGGCCTGGGCCCTGCCTCTGGGTTGAGCCTGTGGGAGGCGTGGGAGACGGGAGAGGGGGAGGAGTAAAACGGTGGGCATAGAGAACCTGCCCCCCGGACGCCATTCCTGGCAGTCCATGAAACTAAAGGGCCTGAGCCAGCCTCTCAAAGCAGGGCCGCAACACAACCTCTTCCTCCGGGTTCTCTGCACGTTCCTGCCGTTCTGTAAAACCATCCCTGCAGCAAATGGCGGTGGTGGCATCAAGGAGGTCCCTGTGGGAAACAGGCCCTCCACGAGACAGACCTAGATCTGTCTGAGTCGCTGTGCCCTGTGCCTAGCACCCTGCCTGCCACGCGGCAAGTGCTGGATAAATATCTGCTGCGTGTGCCGTTGTCACAATTGACTCGTGGGGGCCACACCCCCCAACTGTGCAGATAGAGGGTGCCGAATCAGCTCCAACCGGGAGGCAGGAAGGGCCGAGGAATGGGGGGGGGCACCCGCACATGCCCATGCTCCTCACTCCTAACCCCCGGCTGCCCTTCCTTCCTCCCAGGGCAGTGAGCAGGAGGCTGGGTGGGCACCAGCAGCCAGGGCTTCCACAACTCAGCAACAAGGACGAAAGGACAAGAGGATCCTGGTCACGGCTGTAAACATGGCTCCCCAGCGGCCTGGCCGACAAGGAACTGAAAGTGCACCCTCCAGCACCCACACCCTTCCCACCCACTCAGTGACCCCCATGGAAGGGGTCGCCACAAGCAGAGGAGGGAACTCATCTTTACAGGGTCCTCAGGAGCAAATGCACAGGGACCCCTGCTATGGATGGGCTCACACCAAGTCACCCCTCCCACGGCACCCCTGATTAAAAGTGCTCCCCTGGCTTCCTCGCCTGCCCTGGGCTCTCCTCCTTGTGACCCAGCTCCTTAAGTCTGCCAAGGGCCACCCATTCCTAGCATGTGACCATCCCATCTGGAAGGCTCCTGGTCTCTTGTCCAGAACTGTCTCAAAGGCCGAAAATGCCTCCGGACACCCAGACTTGGGGCCTACTGCCTGTTCTCGTATAAGGGACTTGAGCATCTGAGAGCTCTGGTATCTGAGGCGGCTCCTGGGGCACGCCCCCGGGATACTGAGGGATGTCAGAACCTACCCCTCCACAGGGCTCAGTCACACCACCCCCCACCTTGTCCTGGGTTTAAGGAAGGCAGCTCAGCCTAAGCCACCAGGCAAGGCCAGGTGCTGCAGTCTCTAGGACACACTCAGGAACAAAGATTATGATGATGGCAAACCCTTGGAGGGACAGCCTGGTCCAGAGGCAAGAGTGGCTTCTTCCTGTGAATTCATCTAATACAGCACCAAGAAAACATCCCCAGCTGTTTTCCTCCGTGGTCCTGGGAACTAAATCCAGGGTCTGATCCATCCTAGGCAAGCACCTCCCTCCAGCCAACCCCATTTTAAAAACTTTTATTTTGAGACAGACTGGCCTTCAGGCCAGTGCCTCTAGGCCTGACTGTCTAACTGGTTTCTGATGAAGGTTGCTTTGTTAGTTGGTTGTGAATTTAAAAAGCACATGCGTGTCATTCCTGAGTCTACTGCATGCAGCCAGGGCACAGGTGTGTTTGAGAGAGCCGAAACGACTGGTGGGCCAGCTCAGGGCTCAAAGGCATCCACAGAACAGACCCTCCCAGGCCAACCACCAAGGCCCAGGAAGCAGCCCAGGACCAATAGCAGACTGGACAATAACAGACTCAGCCCCCAAGGAAGGTACAGTGTCACAGCCCCTGCAGCCCACCCTTGTCCCAAACGTCCTGCACCACTGACTCAAGGTGTCTGTGGCTGTGATTGATGAACACCACGGCCATGAGCAAGCTGGGGAGGACGGGGTTCATTTACTCCCACATCACAGTCCATCATCCAAAGACGTCAGAGAAGACAGGTGGCAGGGACCTCCGGCCATCATCCAGGTACGCTGCCTCACGTACTCATAAGAAAAGATCCTCGTAGAGAGTACGTGACTCGGGACCACCCTGCTACCTGCCAAGTTCCAGAAACAGACCTGCGGCTCATCTAGGGCGTAGGCTTAATAGAAGGTGGAATGTGAAAGATAAAGTTAGAGTCTGCAGTCAGGTTACCAGAGGACGCAGGATGCCCTACCCATCCCACTGACCTTCCGCTCCGCCAGGTTCATCGCAGCTACAGCACATCCCCATCCCTTCCCCTCCTCCCTTCCCCCCTCCCTTCCCCTACATAAATCCCTTTGGGATGAATAAAGTTGACGCCTTGATCAGACTCTTGTCTTGGCGTCCGTCCTTGTGTCCCCTGCCCCCCATCTTTTTCCTAGATGTCCACCAGACCCACGCTGAGTGTCCTGCGGGATGGGACAGGCAGGAGCCGATCGATGCCGAGGCCATGGAAGGGAGTTGCTTACTGGCTTGCTCCCCATGGCTTCTTCTTATAGCACCCAGGACCACCTGCCCAGGGGTGGAACCATCCAGTGAGCTGGGCCCTCCGCCATCCATCATCAATCATCAAGAAAATGGGCCACAGGCATGCCCGCAGGCAAATCTGGTGGAGACATTTTCTCAAAAAAGATCCTTAACTCCTGTCAAGCTAAGTTAAAGCCAGACAACACCACCACCTTCTCCTTTGCCCTCAATGGCCTGCTGGTTTCTGGCCCACCGAGAGCCATGCACAGAACATTAACCCCTCATCTTCTTGATGGAAAAAAAAAAAAACACTCCTTTGTTTTCTCTAACGTATCGTTCAAACTTAACGCTTTACTCCATTATCGGTGTAAGCAACTAACCACTGAGTATCAGCAATGCCTGGGAAGCTGCCACCCGCAGAACTCACAGGTACACGCTCACTCCATGGCATCGCTGCAACACTTTCTCAAAATTCACCCTGTCAGACCTGCCCCAGGCTCTTGTTACCTCATGCATTGATGCAAATGCATAGGACCACATCACAAGCTCACTTAACACCGTGACAGCTGCATTTCCGCATAATTGGTTTTCCTTGTAGTCTTTTGCTTATTTAAATGCATTTTGAGACATCACACCAAGCTGGGCATGGTGGCTCCCTAGCACATGGGAGGTTGAGGCATGAGGAACGAGACTCAGAGGCCAGCCTGGGCTACACGATTGCAATCCCATGCATATATCTGGCTGACAAATAAATGGCATTAAAGGAGGATGCTGCTTTGGTCTGTCCCTAAGGTCCACATGCAGAGGCTTGGTCTTCAGTGTTGACAGTAGTCACAGACCTTTAAAAGGTCTGGGGCTTTCCGGGAGATGACCAGGGATTCATGCTAATTAATTAATTAGCTAACTCTCAAGGAATGAGTTAGGTCTCGTGGGACTGTTAGAGCTACTGAGACAGTGAGTCCTCACACAGTGAGCTCAGCTGGCTGTCTTGCCACAGGACCTCTCTTTTACACACAAGCTACCTCGCCCCTCCCACCGGCTGTCACCCACCGAGTTCTAACATCAGGCCAGGGTCTCACGGGATGCAGTCAGCTGACGCGGTGTCCGGAACTGTGAGCAAAACAAAATTGTTTTCTCTATAAGGTATCAGCCTCACGCATTTCGGCCTAGCAGCAGAAAATGGACAAGGACAAGCATGAAGGATTCACTAACACCCACAAGCTCCATTGCACAGACTGTATAACAAGATCCCTGGGCTACCGTGGGGAGCCACCTCCGGATAGAGCCACACGCATAGGCTTCCAGAGAACCACAGGCCAGACAAGAACGACCAGACATTGAGGTATTCGGCCAGGGAAGGAATCCCCGACTGGGAGCCTTAGGAGGGGGCAGGTACCCCACACAGCCTCTTCCCTCTCTCCCGAGAAGGACTGTCCATGCACACGAGGGACAGAAAGGGAGGGCTGGATAGGGGGTGGATCAAGCCCAGAGAAGAACCAGAGAGGGCAAAGGGCACCTGGGCCAGCCCGGCTTCCACAGACTTGCCCGTTTCGCAGCATCAGCATGAGGACTTCGCACTTGGCACAAGGTTCACACGAGGGTGTGTGACAGACAACATTTGATCAAGACCCTGATTCCTCCCAGCCTTTCCTGTCTAGAATGCTTACTCCAGCACCCATCATACACACCCAGGGCAGCTGGTGTGATGCCCCTCACTGGCTGGGATGAAGAGGGAGCTACCGCCGTTCATCCTACTCTTTGGAATTCTGTCCCCCTTCCTTCCTACCCACAGGACCTCTCCCCTTGGCCACTGCTGCCTCCCAGGGAAAACAGAACAGGGTTCTGGAATAATTCACAGGGTAAAAAATGTCCCTTTCATCCGCACGGCGCCATTCCACCAAGCTCTAACCACAGGTTGTGTGGCCCCAGGGGTACAAAACCAGATTGGCCCCCAAAGATTGCCGGGAAGCAACAACAGAAAGCTGAGACAGCCTACTCGCGACGGATGCGAAGACGCGCGCCACTAACACGAACTGAGATTCTCTGAGTTCTGAGCAGGAACCTTTCAACGGGAAGACCTGTTTGTGGGAGGAGGAGCCATCCGGGCTGGACCTGCAAGTCTGTGAACAATCACGGTGGAAGACAGAGTATCCCAGGGCTGTCAGGCGAGCAGGCCCAGGACACAGGGAACACAGGGCAGCAAGCGAAAGACAGGTACGTAGAAAACTCAAAGCATCGCTCAAGGAGAAAGCAGGGCATACACAATTAGAGACACTCCTCGCCAAGTCTGAGGTGCTACTTAGGGCTTCGACTGCTCCCCAACTCATATGGGGGTACGCCTGAGGTTCTCATGAGCCTCCTGTGCCCGGGCTTCACTGGGACTCTGTAGGGAACCAACTCTGACTCATTGGAAGCCCGTGGCTATGAGTCGAGGGACATTAAATCTGACACACTGTTAGCTGGGCATGGTGGCGAATTTACCTGTAATCCCAGTTCATGAGTTCAAGGCCTACATAGGGCAAGTCCCTACCTCAAAAAAAAAAGTTACAATTAAAAAAAAATGCTGGGACTATAGTTTAGTGGTAGGGCACCTGGCACAAGCCTTGGCAACTTCCAAAAGAGAGACAACTAACATGCTGACCTACTAAGTGAATTCTGCAGCAGACAGCCAAGATTCCTAAGGGACGTCAACGCAGGCTTAGCATTTCTGAGGACAGCCACTCTGAGACGGCTCTTCATAAGGAAGGCCCGGCCAACAGTGGAACCTCACCGTATCTGTTATGTTTCCCAATAACTACGCCTCCCCAAGATCTGGGTCACCATCCGCTTCAACCATCTTGCGTGATGACCCCAGAGAATCAGCCCAGTTACAAGAGGCGTCCTCTGAAGATCCGGTCAGTCACCTCCTATCCCAGCTCAGGAATCTGCCAGTAGGAAACAAGCTTTGGGCCAGCCTGGAACTTCAGACCCAAATGCGGCTGCTAAAATAAAACTGCCTGTGGTCTCACCTGGCCAACCCAGATGGACAGAGGGGACCCCGCACACGGATACCTGCACATACTTACTGCTCACTGAGCTTCATATATATGTATGTATATATATATATATATGTGTGTGTGTGTGTGTATGTATGTATGTGTATGTGTGTGTGTGTGTTGTGAGCCTAGCCTTTAATGGCTGAGCCACCTCTCCAGACCTCACTGTGCTTCTTAACAAGAGGGTCAAAGGGCAGGCTCAAAGTTCTGGTCCTGGCCTCCTGGACACCCACCGGGAATTTGTCTGCATAGTACTCCACCCTAAGTGTGCCTCACTGTTTAAAGTTCACCCCAAAGTTCACCCAGCACAAAGATCCCGTGCCTCTCCTCGTCACAGACCAAGATCAGGGGCAGAGAGAGTTAAGACGACAGAATCCCACAAGTCCATCAGTTTTTAATGACCCCCAGGGTTGCTCCTGGGAAACAGCAGGCACCCACTAAATGACCGCTCTAGTGGAAGCTCTCCCAACCTCGGAAGCCATCTAAGACGTCACCATGTTTCTATCCCCCTCACCTTAAACGGAGAGATGCATTTGGTTCACTAGTCTCTCCACACCTATCTCGGTTCCCAGCCCTCTATGTGGAGAGCCCCCTCTTCTACCCCGACCCCTCCCAATGCCCTGTAGCACCAGGACCACACCCTCTCCCACTGAAATCACAGCTCAAGCTATGCCACCAGTTAGTGGTAGTGCACGCCTTTAATCCCAGCACTCGGGAGGCAGAGGCAGGCAGATCTCTATGAGTTTGAGGCCAGCCTGGTCTACAGAGAGAGTTGCAGGACAGCCAGGGCTACACAGAGAAACCCTGTCTCAACAAACAAAACAAACAAAAAAAGCAGATCCCAAGTAGTCCTATGTTTGTGATACTCTGAAGGGCAAAGCAAAAGGTTTGAGGCCAGCCTGTGCTGCATAGTGAGGCCCTGCTTTAAAAAAAAAATTAAAAAGCAGATCCCGGATGACAATCCTTCCTGCTCCTCCAGGACAAAGTCTGGAGAGGTCACTGGTCACCACACCTACCAGCTCAGGAATGCACTGTAGATAAGCTCCCCCCCCCAACACCGAGTGAGCCCATCTGCCCTCAACTTCCTAGACCAACAGGACCACCGACTCCTCTTTTTTTTTCAATTCTGCAGAATGACGGCAGGGCCTGAACCGAGCAAGGCACCGGGCTAGTGAGGCCCAGCATGAAGCCTGCATTGGAGATAGAGAGAAGACGACAGATATGTAGAAAACCAGGCACTAGAGTTGATCAGTTAGGGGGAAAGGCGTCTTGGAGGAGCCAACATTTCGGCCAGGAAAAGAATCGCGGGGGAAGTGATGGCCCAAGACACCAGGATTCCACTCCAAACACTGCCCTCACTCCGGGGGAAGCGCCTGGAGCCCACCCCGTCGGAGGGGCGTGGCGGTGAGCAGGTTTGGCAAGCTCTTGGAGAGCTCGGCTCCGGGGGCAGCAGCCCCCCAAGGCCGACGAGCAGCCGCAAGCGCGCAGGGAGCCAGCGGGTGCCACTCGCTCGCTCGCTCGTTCGGCAGAGCTCGGTTTCGGTGCCGGGCGAGAAGCGCGCGGTCCGCGGCCCCACGGCATCCCCACGGCAGCCAGAGCCCGGGGACTGCCGCCCGCTGTCCATCCCGGAACCCCGAGGCAGGCCACCTCTGCACGCCCGCGGGCAGGAGCGACGAGGGGCGAGCTCTCAGCACTCACCGCGCGGGGGACGCCATGCTCGCCGGGTGCTAGAAGTCACGTGGAGTGCGGCGTCAGCTGAGCCCGCCTGGCTCTTAACCCGGAGGACGGGGCGGGGCCGGGAGGGGCGGGGTTTTAGAGGGAGCGTGGGGCGTGGCCGGCGGCCCCAGGTCCCGCCCCCTCCGGCTCCTGACTGCACACCCAGAAGAGGCGGAGCCCTGGAGGGCGGGGATTAAGGTTCCGTGCTGCAACAACCCAGGTTCTCAGCCCAGGCTCTCAGCCCAGGAGCCAGGCTGGACCTGAGCAGCAACCCACGGAGGCGTCCTCTCGCTGCAGGAAGTGTCCTGAGGCAGGGTCGGCCCCTGACGCTGCGTTGTGACAGCCCACCCACGGGAAGAACGCACAGGAATTAAGAAACCGTCGGGGAGGAGGGTCCTGGGATTGGCTGCGGAAGAGCTGGGGCTGCCGGAGTAACGGGAGACTTCAGCATCTGAGAAACGGAGCGTGGGGAGGGAGACTCTGGCTGGAGAGACAAGCAAGACTTGCAGGGGAGTCAAGCCTTGTCCAAGCCTCCTCAACTGCAGAACGGAGGAGCTGCAGGAAGAGAAGTTGGGGTGGGGAGGTGGGAAGGGTAAGGAGAAGCCGGCAGAGCCGGGCCCCGGGTTAGGGCAGAGTCCTAAAGAGACCCAGAGCACGTCTGATGTGGGATCCAACATCAGAAGGCAGCAGGTCCCAAGCACTTAACAGGCACTGGTTCAAATCCTTGCAGGTGTTACTGCTCGCAGAGGTCTTGCAAAAGGCCCGTGAGGTAGGGATTATTTTAGGACCCATTTTACAGACCGGGAGACTGGGGCCCGGAAGGGTAAGTAACATGCCTGAGCTCACACAGGTTCACATGCTGGCTGAGAACTTTGGAAACCGAGCACGCCCTCACGCGCACGTGTTAGCTCCATCCTCAGCTAAGGAGTCTCGACACCCTAATAAGGGACACTTTAAAAATAGAAAGGAGGAGCAGAGAGAGAGCTATTCGTGTCAGTTTGTAGTAGGAAAACCTGCCCCCAGCTAATCACAACCCCACTTCTTTTGACATAAAATATGTCGAGATTAAGCCAGCTGCCAGCTTAATGCTTATTAATGTGTAAAAGAAGTAATTATCCTAAATATTTACAAAAGAGAGGCAGAGAACACCCAGCCACTGAACGGAGAGCTCGCTCGCTCTCTCTCCCTGTGGCTGTAACAGGGAAGTACTGCCCACGGCTCCTGCCCACCCAGACCCATCTGGACAGTGGGCCTCCAGGCAGGGGCTGCTCTGACAGTATAGTTCTGTGTGTCAGACACTCCCTGCCTTCCCCATCAGAGGCTCCAGCGGGACTGGCCCTCCCCCACGCTTGCTCAAGAACCCTTCCAGCAAGCCCAACCAGATCCCTCACTGCTGGCCCCCATCAGATTCCAGCATGCCCCCTGCCACCTGCCGCAACTCCCCATCAAAGGCTGCGACAGAGTCATCCCTCCCCTGCCCCCGCCCAGCAGGGACTCTAGGAGAAGCTGCTCAGGCTCAGGGTGCGGGAGAACATTTTGGAGTTACTCATGCAGGACGGCCCCGGATGCTGCTGGGAGCCAGGAGGCAATTGGGGAAAGATTGATTTTTAGAGAGTCAGCGTGGGAGTGTGTAAATCAGCCGAGGAAGAGTGCCAGGCCGCGCTCTCCTGACGCCTCACACTGTGCTGCATGAGGCCTGAGGTCATGGGGTCCTCAGAGACGAGGTCTGGCCCTGTAATGGCGTACAGGTGGCTGAGAGATGGCTGCTTTATCTGCCCAGTTCCTGGTGCCCACCTGCAGGAGTCTACCCTGGGTAAGGTCCCCCTTTTCTCCCAGTGGTACTGTGTTGGACCAACTTGCCAGGCCCTACTCACCCCCTCTGCCTAAGCCATCACCCCCCCAACACACACAGCTCCATGGATACTGCTGACCCCCTGGGCGTCTGACTCATGGTTGACTCACTCTACATGGGATGTGTGTGACAGACAGAGGACAGAGGATAGGAGGATATATTCCAATCTTACCTCTCCCGGGTGGGACAGGAAGGCATGTGACAGACACGCAGTGACATATTAGTTGCCTTAGCTCCTTGCTGTGCCCCCAAACCTGACAGGAGCACTTAAAGGGGAGAAACAGTTAATCTGGGTCTATGTCTTCAGAGGCTGTGGTGGTTAGCTTGGATTGTCAACCTGACACAACCCGGAATCCATCACTTGGGGAGTTCTCAGGGAGGGACCGTTTGAATGGAATTATGGCTGGGGGAAGGGGTTGTCTGAGTTAAATCTGCTGACGTGAGAAAGCCCCGCCCACTGTAGGCAGCTCCATTCCCTAGACAGGTGGCCCTGAACTGTTTGAGATGGACACCAGAGCACAAGTGAACTAGCAAGTGAGTTCGCATGCGTTCAGGTCCGTTTGCTCTTGGCTGTGGGTGTGGTGACCGGCTGTGTGACATTCCTGTCTTGACTTCCCCAAAAAGCAATGGGTTGCAGCCTGGAATCATTATCTGAAATAAGCCCCCTTCTCCCCTAAGTTGATTTCTTTCTTTTATTTTATTTTTATTTATTTACTTATTTATTTATTTTGGTTTTTTCGAGACAGGGTTTCTCTGTATTGTTCTGGAGGCTGTCCTGGAACTCGCTCTGCAGACCAGGCTGGCCTGGAACTCACAGAGACCCGCCCGCCTCTGCCTCCCCAGCACTGGGACTAAAGGCGTGCGCCACCAACGCCCGGCTCCTAAAGTTGCTTTTCTGTCACAGCATCGGAAACAAAACCAGAATGAGGAGCATGGGTGGCAGCTCCTCACACCTTAGTGGATCAGGAAGCAGGAAATGTCAGGCCAGAACTAGAATCAGGTATCGCCTTCCAAGTTTTCCTCCCAGAGACCTGCTTCTGTGAACTAGGCCACAGTCCAAAGGTTTGACACTCTACCAAAACAGCACCCACTATCTGGGGACCAAATGTTCAGACACAGGCATGGGGGGGGGGACATTTCTCCTTCAAATCACAGCACACACCTAGGTTTTCTCCTGTCATGGTACCAGCGGGCGCTAGTCCTCGCCCGTTGTGAGAACGGCTGGGCCAACCTTGCTTCCCGCTTCTAAGGGCAGTGTGGCTTCCTGTGTTCTCCACGACTACACCGGCAGCCCCAGGAAGGCCCTACATCACACCCCGTTCCTCCTGCCCACTTCCACTGGCCCTGTTCATCCGGGCATTCATCTTCCTGCAGAAAAAGGCAGGCAGCATCCAAGGGGCCTTCCCCGTGAAGCCCTCCCCCCGCCCCCAGTCACTGCGTCAGATGAAGTGGTCCCTGCTGGGTGCTTTGCTGGGGTCTTCGAGGCAATTCAAGATGAGAAATGGAACAGGGGCTTCCGGGAAAGCAAATCACTCCGGCGGCCCCTTCAACACCTCGAAGGAACAAGCTCTTTGTGTGCGTGTGTGTGAAAATGGGGAATATATTGTTTTTCAGTCTTTGGAAGACTGTTTTCTCATCTTGAAATCACAAGCTGCTTTCTTCCAGCGAGACTTATAAAATACATCCAATTATCGACACTCAATGCAGGAAATAACGTTCTGAAATTGTTTTCTTCCCCCCACGCACAGCGCAGGCCGGCTGGGTCGCACAGGTGATAATTACTTTTATTTCTTAAAATGGGCCAGACCAGTTGTGTAGGGACTGGCAGCCCACCTTTTACTGCTCTCCCCCTTAATGTTGTGCGAGGCTGTTCACTGGTGTAACTCCATTACCCTGCTTCAAGATCTTGAAGGAAAAAAAAGCGAATGAGATTTCTAATTTCAAAAGTATGAGTGGTAAGTTCTAGAGTGGGAGGACTTTGTTCTGTAGGGTGTTGTTGAGTGAAGCCTTTTCCTTGCCAGCCGCTTTGGGTTTTCCCCACCAGTCGCCTGGGCTCTGCCGCGTTGTAGTCCCCAAATAACACAGAAGACGCTGTATTAATTATGAAGCTGTTGGCCTTGCTTGTTTCTTACTGGCTAGCTCTGACCTAAGTATTTACCCCATAATTGTTAATCTAAGTATTTCTCTTACTGGAGAAAAGTTCCGAATTTCTACCCCTATGGCGGCTACCTCTTGACTGCCTGTGTCTCTCTTTCCCAGAATCCTCCTCGATTCCTAGTCCCACCTATCTTGCTTCCCTATTGGCCAACAGTGCTTGACTGACGTATACACAGGACGTCCCCCATCAGTAGGGGGCGCCTGGAGAGAAACTTCTGAAGGGAGAAGGTGCACTGTCTCTCTGACCCAAGTTTCTGGGTGTGTTCGATGGGCAGTAGGTGGGTCTCTGATGGTATTCAGGAGGGTGCCCCATTGGGGGACTCCCTGCGGAAAAGCACCTGTGTGCTGTGTCCCCAGCAGCCCGGCATCCATCCTTTTATCCATGTCAGCATCAAGACTGGGTCCTCTGTGAGACAGGTATGGTAAGCCACCACCCAGGAGGATTACAGATTCAAGCCCAGCCCAGCCTGCTGTCTTTTTTTTTTTTTTTTTTTTTTGTTTTGTTTTGTTTTTCGAGACAAGGTTTCCCTGTGTAGCTTTGGAGGCTGTCCTGGAACTCGCTCTGTAGACCAGGCTGGCCTCGAACTCACAGAGATCCTCCTGCCTCTGCCTTCCGAGTGCTGGGACTAAAGGCGTGCGCCACCAACACCCGGCTCAGCCTGCTGTCTTAATCAGTGTTCTATTGCCTTGAAGAGACCCTGGGACCAAGGCAGCCCTTATTAAAAAAGAAAGCGTTTATCTGGGGTCTGGCTTACAGTTTCAGAGGATTAGTCCACTAGTATCGTGGCAGGGAGCATGGGGGCACGGGGCAGACATGGTTCTGGAGGAGTAGCTGAGAGTTCTACGCCAGGCTCTGCAGGTAGCAGGAAGAGAAAGACTGGGCTTGGCTTGGGCTTTTGAAACCTCGAAGCCCCCTCGGCCCCCCTCCCCAGGGACATTCTCCCTCCAACAAGTCCGTACTTCCTAATCCTTCAAATCTCCCAAACAGCTCCTCTCCCTGGTGGTGGTGGGGCATTCCTTGTTATAACTTCATTTTTATTTCATGTGCATTGGTGTTCTGCCTGCGTGTATGTCTGCGTGAGG